TTAATATCTATTTCGATCTCAATATAAAAGCTATGAATAGCATTAAGTTAGTATAAAAAAAATTAGTTCAATTTTGAATATGAAAAAAATTTATTGACAATTAATCATTCACATGTTTATATGACGTGCTAATTAAGAAGCACGAAGTTCTTATATTTTTTCAGAATAGGAAGAATAAAAATTGTACGGAGTGACCCAAAAGTCTCCAGGTAGTTTTTGATTGCGAATAGATCTCGACAGAGACAAGAAAGAGAATTACGGTTTTCACGGCTGAAAAGAGAAGGCATCAAACCGTATAAGAAGCATGATATTCTTAATGTTTTAGAAGATTTTAAAAAAACCAAGATTTCCAGAAAAGGGAGAATTTCAACGTTTCCATACCATTTTAAACTTTGAGTACATCAGTTTGTTTAATCTTGGTTTTTCTAACACTTCCTAAAAAATTATGAATATTACATTTCTTGTATGGTTCGATTTTTTCGAGTCTCTTCTTTTCAACACTGAAAATTGCAGTAGCTTTTGGACAACCCTGTATATAATTAAATTTTCTTTTGTAATATTCGGATTTTTGGTAGTTCTATTACGATGCCGGATATGGAAAATTCAAGCAAAATTTTATGTATAGTCACATAGAGTGCAAGGAGTTTGTCAAGCGTAATTGTTGTTGTTTCTTTTTAGAATCGGTGTTTACGGAGAAAAATTTCCGGTTTTGCCGATGACCCAATTTTTCTGAAGAAAAGGTCAATTTTCGATAATTGACAGAATGTCAATTTTTTTGTTTCCTTCAAATTTCAAAATTGTTTGTTTGAGATTTAGTGTGAAAAATTAAATCTATGATAATCATTTATAAATGATTATCCTAGATTTAATTTTCCACACTAAGTCTCAAACAAACAATTTTGAAAATTGAAGGAAACAAAAAAATTGACATGCTGTCAATTATCGAAAATTGACCTTTTCTTTAGAAAAACTAGGCCATCGGCAAAACCGGAAATTTTTCTCCCGTAAAGACCCATTTCAAAAAACAAACATATTTGATACACTCCTGGCACTATGTGGCGATATTAAAAAAATATTCTGCTTTAGTTTTTCATTTTCAACACCTTAAAGGCATTCTATTTATAATTATTTAAGGATAGATTATTACTTTGAATGAAGATTAATATTTAGAAACCAATAGAAAAACGAAATTTCTTTTTTGGAAATGTTTTTTTCTTCTCTTGTTTAAATGGAATAATAATAAAATAATAAAGAAAGTCTCGTATATGAATAAGTACGAAAACATGCATGTACGATTTGATTGAATTTAAAACCAATTGAATTATTCTATATCAAACTATTTTCCATGATGTTTCATTAACATCGGCAAAACAGCTTTATATATTTTTTTTTCTTCTTGTTTCTTATTGAAGAGAAGATATTTCTCTTGAATAGAATTGAAGTATTTCGAATAGTTCAAGTAGAAATTTGTTTTAAATATTCAATTATTTTGAATTAAAGTCTATTGTTTCTTCGATCATATTATTAGAGATCATTGAGGGTATGAATAAAAGAGGAAAAAAAACAGAATGACTCTTTCACATTCAATCAGCACTACGGTCATCGCTTTCATTTCGATAATAATAAGTTCTCTTGTTCATTTTCAAATCTATTCATTCTATTTCTTTGCTCTTATATACGCCTTTTTCCTTTTTCAATGTCAATTTCTTCTTTTAAAGCTGCTTCCGATCAGGTAGACCAATGACAGCTTGTCATACAAGTTATCACTGAAGAAAAAGAATGAACTTAAATAATTCTCTATATTATAAAACTAACATTTGCGTTAAAAAAAAATGTCGACATTTAGATTAATTTTTTTTCTATTATAATTGCATTTTAGCTGTCATTCAAAAAGAAAAACAAAGCAAATCCTCTTATTCATCAAAGATAAAACTTCCTATTTTATGTAAGTAATAGCTTATGGCTAATCATATATTTTCTCGATTGTTCGTTTACACTAATTTACAAAAAGAATATTCAATTGGAAAATAAAGGATGCGTGTTATACAAAAAGATAAATAGATAAATGAGTAGTTCATAAATAATGAAAGAAAAGGAGAGAGAATCAAAGGATGCAAAAAAAAAACAACAACAACAGATTTTTTTCAATAGAAAAAAAAAATGAAATGCCAAAAATAACTACTTAACATGTTCAATTACTTATTTATTCATTTATGCATAGAATGACATTATATATCTATTATCTCGAAACCTGTATAAGTAAAAAGAAAATATGTTTTTTGTGACATATATAAAGCTAGGAAAAAAAAATATTTAGCTATTTTATTAACTAGGTTAACGATAAAATCATCCGACTATCTTATCTACGCACGTTTGGCATTTATAGCCGCAAAAAAAGAAAAAGAAAAATCAACGATATAAATACTAATCATATTGAAAGAAGGAACTTTTACACCTCAATATTTGACGTCTAGTGCATTTGAGTCTTTTTCTGGTCGATCGACAAAAAAAAGAGATGCATTGTTTCCCTACAGCTAATATCTCAACATTAGAAATTCAATGGAAAAGAGGAAGAGCAATGAGGAAAAGAGGAAGAGAGAAAGAGAGAACGTGAAAAGAAGGAGCAAAAAAATGTCTTTAGATGCTCTTCTTTGTGATTGCTTTTTCCACTTACCATCGACAACCGACCAAGACTCTTGAGCTTTGCTCTTATGCTTTAACATATATATATATCTATATATTCGCACACACATATAACTCCTTCTAACACATTTGTAAACGATTTACAACAAGTATTTCAAGAACATAAACGTTCACTCAAACAACACATGATGGCACCGGGTAGGTGGATAGGACATACACAAATAAATAAGTATAATCAAGATGTAATTCGCTCGAAGAAATGTTTATTTATATTCACTCGTATGTCTCTTCGCTTTTTTCTTCTTTATAGTCATTATTCAAATATTTGGATGAATGGAATATATCTAGTTTTGTTTATACATTAAATTCTATTTATTTTTTTTTCCATTCATCATAATGAACGTCATCATAATCCATTGAAAGAAATATGAGTAATAGAAAACATCATATAGAATAAAAGTGATACGAAACTATTAAGATATAATATCTTTCCTATGCTTGTTATAAAATTGAGGGCAATAATGCCGAATGTATTATTTTTCTATCGACAAAAACTAAAATTGTGTCAAATAATGCTCGTTGTTTAGAATAAGAATAAACAACACAAACGACAGTATGAACAATAAAAACAATATATCATGTCACCTGAAAAGTTGCTTGATTTTCATTATATATAAAATATAATATATACACCTATCCAGATAACTATTCTCATTTAGTATGTCACAACAAAGTTTTCTTGAAGGATAATAAAGTCCTTTCTAATTATTACTAGTTTTGTGATAACATGTAAGACCATATATGACAAACAAACATGATTAACTTCTCGAAAGTTGTTGACAGTTATTTAGTTAGTTTTCGACATACTAACTACTGTAAAACTGCTCCCGGGCTTTATGAAAAATAGTAATATGTGTACTTGTCAGATTGATAACGTATGGAGATGAATGTATTGAGTAATAGAACGAATGGTAACGATCTCTCAGTCCGTTCGGCTACTAGATCTATTAACGACATGTGTTTACCGATACATTGTTATGTGCAGTCTCGCTCTCTCTCTCTCCTTGTCCCATTTTTTGCATCCAATTGACATTCTCATCTTTATTATGTTGATGGGCGTTGTGATAGAGAAGCAAAATTTTTTGTCTATATTCATCGAGCATATCCATTTCCATTCTATGCGTTACTACACATACGTAGGTATTAATTGCTTTATCCTGTTATGTTATAAATATATGTATTTAACATAGAAAAGATTTCAAAAAAAACACATGCATTTCAATCATCATCCACTAATCGATATATATATAGGACCATAGATATAATAAATGTATCCTCTATTTTGTTTTTCTTTTGCTACTATTATTCGTTCTCTATCGAATTCAGAGTATACTCGAAGCAAATGAAACTTCCCTTCGACGTCAAAAACAACAGAATAATAGTTATATAGCTAAAGAAAAAGAAATGCAAATGTGACAAGTTTTTTTTTCTTGACCGAAGTAGATTGGAATATTTAATATGTATATAATAATAGCAGACGTTAAAAAAGATAATAATCCGATGAAAGTTCTGTGTTCGCTTTTTTGCACGTATGGCATCCATAATCTGTTCATTGAATCATCTATGAATGCATATGCACGTCGCACGATTTAGTCAGCTTCTATCTATTACGACTGATTGGCATTAAGGGGCAAGCCACTTTCCGGCTCACGCCTCTTTCGTCCTTTTTCGTCTTTCGGCAAAAAGAAAAGAAGAGGAAAAAACTAGTCACACAGACTATATGCCTGCTGAAGGGCCCATAGGAATAAAAATGTATATTCGCATACATTCACATCGTTAACAAACAATAGAATACTATTTGACTACACTTGTAAATGTCGATGCAAAGACGGCATGCAACAAAGCAATCTGTTGTTGTTCTCTAAACAGAAGGGAAAAAAAGAAAGATATGAATGATTTTTGTATAAGGACAAGAATAGAAATGATGAGCATTTGCTTTCATTGAATAAAACCTATTGACAAAAAAAGACACAAATGAATTTAATTTGATATGTATGTGATAATGAATTTATGCATTTAGTTTTTCGTAACTTATTAAATAAATACGAAACGATTCAAATAAGTATATGTGTGATTATCTCCGATCGATCAAATAAACACGTCGATCGATATCAACTCTTGGAAAGAAAAATTATTACTTAGAAGAAAAACGATTTAATTAATCGAATATTTATAAAATAGTTTTAATTTCATGAAAAAATTACTAAAGAAATTTTATTTGAAATTTCCAAAAAAACACATCGATGTATATATTTTTTTCTCTAAAGAATCAATTCATCTTCCCTTCCAACGTGAAAATGTTTGCCGAGCTCGATTATCCATTACCCAATCCTCATGGATCATCTCATCATTTATCTCGTGTTTTAACTGGTCTATCATCGCCTGACATTCAACAATATTCATATTCGTCTCCAAATCTTAATTGGCGTCATTATTCACTTGATTTTTTTCTTAATAATTTTAATATAATGCCTAATAACGATTCAACATTTCTTAATTCAACTTTAACAAATTATTCATCTAATTCCCAAGGAAAATTATCGTCTGATGATGAAGCACCCGATCATCTTCTTTATCTTATTATTCCGCTTTATTCACTTGTTTTTGTCATTGGCACAATTGGAAATATTTTAGTTATATTAACTGTCTTTACAGTTAAACAAATGCGTAATACAACCAATGCACTTATATTACATTTAGCTATTGCAAATTTATCATTTGTACTTATGTGTATACCACATACAATATATGTATATGTTGTTCATTCATATTATTTTCCAAGACTGTTATGTAAAGTAGCAAATACATTAATGTATTTAAGTGCGTATGTTAGTATTTATATCCTTGTATTAATGTCAATTGATCGATTTCTTGGTGTTGTTTTTGCTGTTAAATCTGTTAAATATCGAACGGAACGTAATGCACATTTAGCTGTCATTATTGTTTGGTTAATTGGCATTATTTTTGCTTCACCTAACATGTAAGGAATTTTAGATTAAAGAAATATACGTAGAAGAAAAAACCTTTTCATCTAATAATTTTTTATTGATTGGAATTTAATATTTAATATATATTTATTGTTTTTTTGTTTTCGAAGGATCTATTATGATGTATTACTTGTTGATTCAAATGCTGATGTTTGGGTATGTTTATTTCGTGGTGATAGTCCTTTTTTAAATACAGCTCGTCGTGTAACAGCTTATTTTTTTGCTTTATTTGGTTTAATTGTTCCTTTAATTGTAATTGTTATACTCTATGGTCTTATTATAAATGTTTTACGTAAAAATTCTAAAGGTAAACAAGTAGCAAAAGGTAAAAAACGTGTTACAAAAATGGTTTCAGCAGTTATATCATCATTTGTTATATGTTGGACACCAATGCAAATATATTTATTATATACACATCATAATCAAGTTACAATATTATTTGCTATTGTTGCTCAAAGTCTTGTTTATATATCCTCATGTGTTAATCCAATATTATATGCATTTTTATCTGAACCATTTCGTAAAACATTTAAACAATTTTTAACATGTTCGAATGTATTATCAAATCATATAACTAATCAAAATAGTACTGAAACAACTACGACAACTAAAACATATTGTGCTGTACAACGACAACGGCAAGCAAACAAACCATTAGCATTGAAACCAAGTGTAAATAATCATCATCGAATAAAAACTGAGAATAATTCAATTACAACATCATCCGAACGAGTTAAATATGATCTTGTATCAAATACAAATACAACTAGTTTAAATTAAAACACAGACAATGAACTACTTTTCTGTGGTGCTTTCATATCTTATTGTCAATTTTTCTTTTTTTTTTTTTTTTTTTGTTTAAATTCAATATGAATAAAGAAGTATTGTGTATTGTAAATATGCTTATCAGATAATAGAGAAAAATCGATTGTTAGATTTACAGATATAATTATTTATTGGAAATTCTTTGTTTCTTATTTTTTCCAAGTATGTCTGTGTATGAGAATGAAGAAGGACAAAAGTTGTTTCATAAGAACATTTGACGCTATTTTAAATTTAGAATATGGTAAATGACGTAGACTACTTGATAAAACATGCCACTTCATTGAGAACATTGAATGAGATATACTTATTCATCATGTATAGTATGAATAGAAGCATCATGGATCGATTTAATCATTTTTATGTACCCACATTAAACGGGTTCCATTATAAGATTTTTTTGATATTCGTACAAAATCATATAGAAACTGACTGCATGTTATTTCATGATCATACAAGATCAGAGGTCCGATCTTGTGTGATCTTACCGTCTGATTTTTTGACCTGAGTATATTTGTATTAGTGAGATGTAAAATTATTATCTTATAAGATCTTTTAAAAACGATTCCGATCATCACACTTTGCAAGAATCACATAGTAGGAATCATATAAAATTCACATTAACATCTTATAGTAAGGCGAATGTTAAATCTTACAGGAAGATATTTGTACGATTTCGTAAGATCATACAATATTAATCTTTCGATATCCGATTGTTAGTGAGATCTTATACGATGTTCGTAAGATTTTCCCATCTGAATAGAGATTATTTTAGTTTATAAGAATATGAACGGTAAAATTATTCATTAGGTATATCGAATAAAATTGAATATAAGCATTTTTGTCTGAACGATGATAACATTAATTAACAAATGGGAAAAACAAAAGATGAGTACGGAAAGAGTTTATCAAATAATTCTGAAACAAGAAATGATAGTAATACATTTGAGTGAACTTCAAATTGTCGATTTTTTTACTTTCATTTCTTTTTTAGCGACTTTTAAAGTTGCTAATAAATAAAACTTGATACTCCTCAATGATATTAACTTTCGGTTATACAATATTGTTTCGATAAGTTTGTGAAACTTGTTGATACAATTCAAATGAATATGTTTTCTGTTTTGTTAAATATATCGCATTGATTTAACTCGTATCCATGCAATGATAGAACTTAGGAATCTTATTTCAGTTATAATTTATTCCAAAAGTTCAAATGATAAATCTTCATACTATTATAAATGTGTTCGCAGTAAAATTAGAACATGATTAGAGATAAATTCATACAACCGAAATAAATGAAATTTGAATAGAATAACAATCTTTATTATTGTAGACACTTTATGAGTCAAAGTACTGTAGTCTATTCACTCATGTTTATGTAACCATCTGGCTTAGAATGACATTTTTTCGAACAAAAAACTCGTTTTTTTTTTACACGAATGTTGTTTGTAATGCAGTTGCCTTTACAATTGCATTTACGACCGATTATTGAATCCAATTCAAACATTGTTTTTTATTAGATTGTAACACATACATCTATATTTATACTGCTTATCGATACAACCAATATGATTTAAATTTTCTCTCTTTTTTTTCTATTCTACTCTACTTTTAGTAACAAATGTGACTTTTTATGAATTTATCTCTAATTGAATTGTAATTCTGTCTGATCGAAATTAGACTTCCTATTTTGTCTCGAACATATGCGAAGCGTAAAAAATTCGAAAATAGTCTATTCGATTGATCTCAGTGACCGAAAAAAGAATATATTTATTAATAATATCAATAAAAATTCAATGAGTCTAGCTAGTATGTTATTTACGTTGATTATGATTGTTGCTAAAATTACAAAAAAACAATAATCTTCAATAACTAAGCATATGTCTGTAAAAACAATGTTTACTGGATTGACTTAAACTCTAACGCATTGAGTAATTGAAGTAAGAACAAGTGGACAAGATACTTGTTTGAAACTTATCGTTGGATTATCAGCACCCATAAACCAATCAAATCGCCAATAACAGCCTGGTTGAAGAACAGATGGTAAACCAGCACAATCTGATCTTTGACTAACGCCACCATATGTTTGACCCCATGTATATGAACCAGGAAATTGCTTTGAACATCCATCAAATATGCCAACACCACCACCAGGCATTTGAAGATCAAAATGATTATTACCAAGATCACCACCTGTATTTGTTACTTGAACTATTAATTCTTTACCAACAACAGGTCCTGATGTAAATATTAATGAATAACAAGCACAACACCAATCTGCTTCACCTTGATTCTAATACAAGACAATATTACATACATATATTTTAAAATTCAAAAGATGAACTTAATCTCTTTATTTTCTTACAGCAATATGAGCAGCAGCAAAACCATATGCAAGAGTTGAACTAACATTCCATGGTTGTTGATCATTACACATATAAGCAGTACCACCAGTACAACCGGATTGAGTATTAGGATCAACAAATGTATTACCATTTTGTGCACATGTTCTAACTGGACTTGTCACAGAAGCTTTACCTGGCCATCCACAACTTGCTTTACAACAATCCCAATAACGAGTAGTAACACCGGATTGACGAGTAGAATCGATAGATAATGTTGCTGTACTGACAGTACTACTTGCAGCCACTGAAGAACCAGACGATGTTCCTGATACTACACATTGTGAGTACCAAGCGTTACCATATTGGCATACATTTGGGGCACAACAAGTTGTTGGACCACTCCATCCAATACCACCGCATTGTGCCCACAAAGCACTGCAACCTTCTGTAAAGACAAACAAACAGAGAAAATTAAGAAAAAAGAACAATCAAACAAAGACTTTTCTCATATGAATACAACATAATTTATTTTTTTGATGAAACATAAACAATTTAATAGATTTTTTTTTTCTACTAAGGTCTACCATTCTAGCAAACATATCTGAGCTAATTGCTGTCGAAATAAGCTATATGATGATAAATTCTGTTTTCTAAATATTCTACATTTCATGCTGTAGATGTCTATGAAATAAACGAAACTTAAAATACTTACGGTTCACAGTACTAGAGCTTGATGATGTACTACTAGAACTGGAAGATGTTGATGAAGATGATGAAGTACTTTGAACAGTAGTAGTTGAAGTACTTCGAGTAGTAGTAGTTGGAATACCTGTCGAAGAGATACTGTTGGAAGTTATTGAAGCTGCCAAGCATTGTGAGTACCAATCATTACTATATGTGCATACGTATGGGGCACAACAAGTTGTTGAACCACTCCATCCAATACCACCACATTGTGCCGACAAAGCACTGCAACCTTTTGTAAACAGAAACAAATAAAGAAAAATCGAAAAAAAGAACTATCAATGAAAGCGTTTGCTCACATAAATACAACATAATGTATTTTGTTGAGGAAATTTAAACAATTTAATAAGTTTTTTTTTTCCTAAGATCTATCTTTCTAAGAAACATATCTGAGCTAGTTGCTGTCGAAATAAGCTATATGATGTTAAACTCTGTTGTATAAATATTCTATATTTCATGAAGTAGATGTTCATGAAATAAACGAAACTTAATATACTCACGATTCGTTGAACTTACCAGAGTTTATGGATGTTGGATCTGTCAAGCATTGTGAGTACCAATCATTACTATATTTGCATATGTATGGTGCACAACAATCTGTTGGACCTGTATAGGTTAAACCACCACATTGGCCCCATTGAGCTACACATGGACCTAGATAATTAATAAAAAAGATATTGAAAATTATACAACATTTGTATAAATAATTTCTTTTACTTGTCTTTGGTAGATGTGAAAATCCAATTAACACAATCAGAATAAATTTGAACATTACTTATCGTCTCTAAAATATTTACATTGATAACAATTTGTATTGTTTTACATTTAACACAATGCTTACTTTGAATAATGAGCTTTGAAGAGTCAATTTTTCTTCTAATATAGTTACTGTTTATTTTTTCTCAATTTATATATGACTGTGTCGCTTATATTGATTTAGACATTGTACTATCGTTAAATACACACCGTCAATGTACTTTTTTTTTTATCAAGTACAAAAACATATTGCGCTGTCAAATTTGTGATGAGTAACATAAAGTAATCAAAAGAAAATAAATCGTATTTTTTGTTGAATATTTTCATTCGTCACCTTAATTAAGTACATATTGTTTTCGCACAGTTCATGCTAGAATATACTTGCATAAGCGAAAGATAAAGTACATACACATGATGAAAACAACAACACGCATTATTGACGTGATAGGTGTCCTTTACAATAATATGTTTTTCTTATTCAAGGACCTGAGTTACATACTTTAGGTATGCTTGCATTAAGTATGAAGGAAAACAAATTGATGACAAGATTTATTGAAAATAAACTAATCAAAGATTGAAATATTTAACAATCATTACAATTGAACTTTCAAAAAAAAACAACATCATTCATAATTAGGCTAATATTGCAAATCTTATTCTTAACAAAATTTATTTGTTATCAGATAAACATTTTGAACCTTTTACATACATTACTGATATGAACTAGCTCATGAAAAAATACAATCAAGTTAAAAATGGTAAATTTCATTTTACGATAGTTAGTTTTAATTTTTTTATTTATTGTTTTTTTTCATGAGACATATTATAATTCTACTATTGATACTACGTAATAATACTCTATTTATCTACCTCGCTAAACTAAACAGAACATTACACAGTGAAAATCAATTAATTTGCTTAAAACTAATCGTTGTCATTGAAAGAAAAATTATATAATATTCAAAAAGTAACAATGTTATATTCAAGAGCGTTCTAAAACTTATTTGTTAACATGAAATATATTTATCTATCAACGAATAGTTTTTTTTTATCATTTTGCTTTTTTTCTCGTTTTCATACATATGTACAATCCTTTTTTTTTCTTATACAATCCATATAGACATCCCTCGAACTTGCCTATACCATGTTGACATTTCTCTATTCTCCGTACTTTGTTGAAATTTTACCTTTCAATGTTCGTTTGTCATGCACGACGACGTTGATAGGTTCAAAGTTTTTTCACTCTTTGTTTGTTGTGAGATAAAATTGTGAAAAAAAAATCAAGCCCCATATATTCGGATTTGGCCCTTCATTGCCCGTTTGATTTTTCTGTGTATCAAATAAATTTGACAATGGACACTATATTAATCATATATGACAAAGTCATATTTGCTACCTTTAGCTGTCATTTTCATGTTTATTTTCACTTTGATACAAGTGAATAAATAGAACCAATTGGATTTTTGAATAAAAGTTTGATGTATTACATTAGAGTAGACTACGCTTATCAACTATTTCGATTGATATTGAACAGTACGTTCTTATTTGTGACAATTGATAAGATATTCGATAAAATATTTTCTACATTATGAAAATGAAAACAATGAATATTGACATAATTCTCCTATAATCGTCATTCTAAGAAAAACAAATCTCAAACTTTATTTCTAATGACAAAAGATCGATAATAGATCGATTGAAGTAGAACAATCCATTTCGTCANTCAGCAGTTATTTCTGCATATTCACTAAATATAATAATTTGAGTTTTTCTATTTATTAGTCAACTTATGTTTACAATGATTCATTTATTGATTCAAACAAGTTTCTTATATTTCAAATAATCAGAAAACAAAGAGAAAATATATTCAACTAGCGAAGAAACATATCCAACTGTGAATAGTAAATCGAAATAATATTTTGTCCAACAATAGGAACTCAGTAAGACTAGAAACAGTTTTAAAAAATGCATCCCCATAAAACTTATTTATGGACAAAACTTCAAGTGGAAATTCTTTATTTTTATTTCTCTATAAGTCAAGATGTCTCGAGGATAGATAATGACTCAGCTTCTCGACTCGTTCGAAATACTCCTGTCTATGAATACTTTGCCATAAGCTGAAAATCTAGTAAAACAGTCAGAACGATACAAGGAAATCCTATGAGTACAAATTCTCTTATTAGGACTGTTCTAGTCTTACCAATATCTTCACATGGATTCAATATGAATTTAAAACGGTGTATTACATTTAGAGTAGTTTCTTCGTAAGCTGCATCAATATTAATATTAAAACATCAATCTTGACAATGAGATTTTCAACTAAGACTGTAATTATAAGTATTATAAATCAACTAAGTCGATTGTCATATTAAGAAAACTATTATTTCAATCATGCAAAGATATTTTTAACATCTAATCAACAAATGATGATAAACAATTTCTTTTTCTTCTTGTATAAACTTGAATGAAACATATCCATACGATATATCATCATGCTCCATTGCACATATCTTTCTTTTTCTCACTATTTCTAATATAAAGTCGGTCATATATATTCAACATTCACGCTCATCTTCAATTCAATCATCCAGATGTCATCTATTGTATCTTTTCTATTCAATTCTTAACCATTTGCTTACAAACGATTTCACACATTGAATAGATAAATGTGTAAAAGTTGACACGATTTAATGAGATATTTTCAATCGATAAGACATTATGTTCATCAATTAAACACAAAAAAAAAAAAGAAACAAAAATAACAAATGTACGGCATATCTGACTAGTAAAAAAAAAAGAGAAAAAAGAAGAAGAAAACAACTGTTCTATAAAATAAATTAAATAATAATAGGTGGTCTACAAAGACATGTTGGCGGATTTAAATGATTCGATGATGTTGTAAATGGAATTTCATGATAAAAATGATATGATTGTTGATCTTGACAACAATTTGTTATTGGTGGTGAACGACAATAATAAAACATAGGTGTTATTGTTGATTGATGATTTGTACTTCCATTTATTGAATGTTCTTCTATTGAACATGATCCACCTATTTGTGTTGTGTCAGAGCCAGTTGTTTGATAAAATGAATCGGTAGCAATTGTTTTTGATGAATTATGAAAAAATTTATCACGTTGTTTTATAATAAAAATAACAACAAATAAAAGTATAAGTAAGACAAAAACAATACCACATGCAATACCCGTTATTAAATATTGTATATCATTAAGAAAATTTTTTTCAGTAGATTTCAATGATGATGATGATGATGATAAAAGTTTTTGTTCAAATTTTATTTCTTGTTTATTTGGTGTTATTAAATTTCGACATAAATATTCTTCATTAATTTGTAGACATAATGTATAATTAGTTGATGATTTTAATTTTTGAAGAAGAAAATAATTTTCACTTGAATTTAAATATAATATTGGTAATTTATAACCATTTTCATAAACAATTAATTTTAATGGAGATGATACATATGACCATTCAAGAATAGCTGTTTCAGAATCTTTTAACCATGCATTAAATGATGATATTATTTCATATTCAGTTGTTAATTCCGAATAATCCATTGTTGTTGTTGTTATTGTTGTTGTTATTGGTTTTATTGAAATATTTTCGCATTGAAATTGATGTTCAGATAAAGAACCTAATTGTTTACCAGAAAGTTCTTTTGGTTGTGCACATATCCATTGAACATATGGAACAAGTTCAGTTTGATAATGTGTTAATAACCAATGATATAATGGTTTAATATGACAATCACAATATAAAGGATTTGAACTAAGATCAAGTGTAATAAGTTGTGAAAGTTTTTTAAATGTTTGATTATTAAATGGTAATACTGTTAAACGATTATGACCTAGTTCTAATTCACGTAATGTTAATGGAAATTCTGTTGGTATTTGTATTAATTGATTACGTTGTAAATCAATAGCAATTAATTGTGACATAGGTGAAAAGAAATTATTAGGTTTTATTTCAATTAATAAATTTGATTGAAGTTTAAAACGTTCAAGATTTATTAAACAAGAAAATGCTGGTAAAGAATTTGATGTTAATGAACAAGATTGAAAACTTATATTACGTAATGAAGATTCAATACCAGAAAATGTATCAATTGATAATGGAAGTAATGGATTACGATCCATATTTAAATGTTCAAGTGAACGAGTAAATTTAAATAAACCTATTAAAATGAAAAAGAAAAAAATGAATTTCATTACAACAATCAATTATGATATATATATACTATTGTGAGAATGAAAGTGAGGAATGTTATCCTGTAGTAATTGAATTCAATAAGATATATGCTGATTTCAATCAAACAAAGATTGATGGTTATTTCTTGTTCAATCTGAATCGATTAATTTCATATTTATTCTGTCAAATGTTCAGACTGATATACCTGAATTCTGGCAACTACGAATTAGTGGTGTAACTTGGGTTGTGATTGTGGAGGTTAAACAAGAATGGACTTTCTAGTCGGGGGACTCAGATGACCAAACTCTGCCTAACGGAGAGGCTTGTCGAAGAGTTTATTTGAAGTAGTTTTGATAAGTAGAGGGAGAGGAAATCTAGTTCCGCCTTGATAACGCGACAACTATGAACAACTTCCTTCCTATACGATGAGACAATGACTATTGCTCTTTACTTTCTATTGAAGGAAATTGTCTGTAGTCTTATGTATGATTATGAAAGTGACTAATTTGTTTTTGAATAATCTATTTTCTTCTTGAAAATGTTCTAAATCTATTTTTAAGAGAGAATTTGAAAATCAAAAGAAATGATTTTATAATTGTTCAATTGAAGTGTGTTTGTTTTTTGTTTTTGCCGTAAATCAATTATTTACCTTTGGGTATTGTTTTGATATTATTTCTTGCTAAATTTAATCGTTTAAGTTTATATAAATGTTGAAAAATATTTGAATTATTTAATAAAAAATCATTACTTTGTAATGATAAAGTTTCTAATGAATTTTTTTCTGTTATTAAATTTTTATTAAATTTTCTTATAGAATTAAAATCAAGTATTAATTCTTTTAATTGATTTGGTATTGAACCATTTATTTGTTCTGATGTTAAAAGATTATTTTGTACATTTAATATTTGTAAATTTGTCATATTTGTTAATGATAATTTTATTAAACCATTATATGATAAATCTAAATATCGAAGATTTTTATTAACTATATTTGTTTCATATTGATTTATATGATTATGTGATAATGATAATGTTTCAAGTGTTATTAAACGATTTATTATAATTGATATACGACTATCAAATTGATTATAATCAAGATATAAATGTCGTAATTGTTTTTCAATCGAATGAAATGCATTGTATTCAATTGTTTGTAAATTACATGATTTTAATGATAAAATTTCTAATTTTTTCATTTGTTCAAATGTATTTGTTGGTAATATACGTAAATTTAAACCAGTTAATGTTAAACTTCTTATATTAGCTAAATTTGTTTTAATTGCTTCAGGTATTGTATCAACAATAGATGAATCAAATTCTAATGTTAATTGTTCAAGATAATTTTCTAATTCACGAAATGAATTTTTATCAATAGATTTTAAACGATTACCCGACATAATCAAACGTTTTATACGTAAATTATGAAATGCATTTGCATGTATATGTGTTATAGCATTATCAGATAGAATAAGCTCATCGAATGCTAAGTTAAATAAACGATGTGAGGAAAAATCTGGAATATCCGATAGAGATTTTCGTGCACAATGTACATAATTTGAACCATCATCACGTATTCCTGATTGACATAAATCAAGAAGATTAATTGCTAATGATGGTGTTAGAAGAAAGATTAATAATATGTTTAATGGCATTATCTAGAAGACAAAACAAGAACTTATGAATTATTATTCATTATTATTTAATGATACACTACTTTTGCTTCTGCATGACAATACAATCGATCGAACTTATATATATTGATTACACGTAAATTATCGAATATAATGGAACTTAAGTTCGAGGAAAAAATTTCTAAAGTATGTCTTTCGAAGTTTTGAAGAGATCTTCAAAAACTATCGAATCTGCTTACGACCTCAATGTTACTTTGTCCGATCGAGTTGAAATGCTTTTTGAAAATAGCTGGAACAAAATCTGCGATGCATTTTTAAGTTTCTTTTTAGAAATATATATGAAATTGTATTCCAGGTACCTCAAGAAAAAAACTTCAGCCCGATAGGACAAAATAAGATCAGGGTTGTAAATAGGTCCGATGATTTTCGAAAATCTCTGAAGATCTACTTTAAAAAATTTTCTTTTTCGAACATGCTTTTCATCATTTTTCAATTAATCTAGCTGTGGTAAAATTTAAGCCCGATTCTTTGTACTCTTGCAGACAATTAGAAGGAGTATCCTTAAAATAAACTATTATAATTGAATATGTATACCGGAAAGATTTATCTTAATAGATAAATTCAGAATATTTAAGGATTTAAGACTTACCTTGGTTCTTTTCTTTTTTGCCCTAATTTATATGATAGTTTAATTGATCCTTTATAGCATCCGGACATCGAAAAACAAAACTGTACACATAAATTCTACATTCAATAGATGCATGTTATTGTTTACATAAGAGAATATACAAACAGTAGTGTTTCTTCGTTATAAACATACCTACACTCGTCCACTTCCTATCATATACGTGTGTACGTCTTAGCAAACACATAGACACACACACAAGAGCTTTTAGCCTCTCGGACACACGAATACGACGAGTGATGCTGATTACATCACGTCTTGTACACAATACATACACTTCTCATTCACAATTAAACCCTAAAAATAGGAACAAATAAAGCTTTCTATTTGTATATACAACAAGGAAAGAGAGAAGAAGAAGAAAAAAGAAGCTTCGCGTGCCAACATTTGATTGAACACGGTTATAATAATCGATCATTTGAACCGACAGTTATAATTTTCGTGATTTGACTCTCACACCTTTTAAATAGCATATACACACACGCATATATTGATGATACTTATCATCAATATCTATCTTTGTTTGTGATCTACACTTGATCGTTTCGCATCACCATTTGTCTTCTTCATCTTTTTTTATAGTCTCTAATCAAAATATATATATATACCGACTCATACAAAGTTGTTCTCTTAAATCAGAAATGAATGATGAGTTTGATATGAATCAAATCCATTGTATAGACACATGCCGAGTCATGTGTATAAATAAAAGAAAAAAAGTTTAACCGTCATCTTTTTTTCCTCTTTTTTCGTTGTCTATATTCTGGGAAATTTACCTTCACAAAATACAGCTGTTATTACTGCTGAGAGCCGCCTCCGGGAAGAGACTAAGATGAAACAAATATATACAGACAACAGATAGTAGATAATGTTGATGTATCTTACTCACTCAACACTAAGAGAGAATAGATAGACATATCGTAATAAGAAACATGCATAGGAAAAAAAAAGACGAATACAAATTATGACAAATTGATTTGTCAAGTTAAAATAAAATATCAGTAATATTAAGAAATGTTACAGCGGGCTTACGCTTTCTTTTTTCTTTCAAAGTTCACATTTCCATAGGTTGACTACAATATATTTCATAACGGAAAAGAAAATTCTTTCTTAAACCACCTACTGATGTCCGGTAACATACCAAACGGAAGACTTATCCTTACCTTTTATATTTCTCTTTTGTATAGGATATGTGATAGAAAGAAGGTCATACATGCTCACCACAGCCCAGTATGGGGTAAAAAGTTATAAAATGACGAATGAACGAACGATAGAAAGCAAAAAAAAGAAGAAAAGAAGGGGAGAAAAAGAACAAGAGCGCGAAAATTCTCACTGATGCAGAGTAAATGAACAAATGTGAAAGAGAAGAGAATCTCTAATCCTTCACTTATTGTATATATATATATAGAAACAAGAGAGTGTCATTCTTTATCGCCTTACAATTAACCTCCTCATTCGACTTTGTTCATCAAAACGGCCGACAGTAGCGCTCATATATATTCACAAACGTATCAAAAGCAATGCTAATTGAAAAACGCATCATCTAGAACGAGAGAAAAGACGAATTCATGTGTAACGAGAAAGCGACATGGCGGATGGATTACACAGACAGGCGCTAAATGGATTTTCAATCAGTAACAAGGGAAAAAGATGATGATGGCGTTCATTCAATCAGTTAAAAAGAAACTCTATTTGTATTCGACACGTCACTATGATGTGACATTTCCCATAAAAGAGAGAGAGAGAGAAAGAGAGAAAGAGAAATGTTCATGTAACTCATTTGTGCTAATCGAATGTGTTCAATACATATATACATAAGAATATTCTCTAGTGAGGTGGTGCCCGAACGATTTCCTTCTTCTCTCTTCGGTGCTGTCCAGACGATGGTAACTTTATTTTTTCAATTGTTCTTGTACAGTCACAAAACAATTGTCGTCTACAATAAACAGTTAAAAGAAAAAGAAAACGGGAGCGCACACACACACACGACAATTAGAGAGAGTTGTTATTGTTACGACAATGAATGCATATATACATATATGTATACTCAAAAGAAGTCTTACTGACTATTAGACGAAAGAAGTGCAATGATGACCGAGACTTAAAGTGTCGAAACTATATAAGAGTCGGTCATGAAAAATTCAATTGAATCAAAATAAAGACAATGAAGTCATAGAAAATGACGCATGTTTGTATTTGAATGTAGAACAAAAACACAGAAAAATAAAAGGTGTCGAGATATTTGTCTAAATTAAACCCAAATGCATTAACGTGTGATTGATACTATTAAAAGATAGTGTGAACTAAAGTGTGTTATTTCACGTTCATATACTAAATTTCTTTCTTTTTTTTTTTCAATTTGTTAATCTTCATCGATAAACATTTCCTGTTTTTTTAAAGATTTAATTTATGAAAATCATATAGTAGTACATACTTTGAATTTTAACAATACTATAAAGACAAAGTAAAATGTTTAAGTGCTTTACTTACTCATTGTACAGATGGTTCCCTTACTTACCTTCTCAAGAGTGAGCGCGCACCAGCTGTGTGCCATCCATTGACACCCCATTAATGTGTCCTTCTCTTTCGCTCTCTCTCTCTCTCTCTCTCTCTCTTTCACGTTCATTTAGATAGAGAGCTAAAGGAGACACAGAGATTCACAAATCTTTTTTTTTTCTCTTTCTCTTCTCTTTTCGACCTACGGTCATTTGTATATATATGTGTGGCAAAATCAATTCACATTCCTAATCATATGTTGTTGGTGATGACACGCGTACGATAGCGTTCAGTTTGTTATTTCTAGCTGCTATGTTCATGCTATACATACACATACACACATCTGCAAATGTTCATCATTGCATTTAGATAGAGCAGATTCACAATTAAGCTCTTGTTTTATCTCAAGGCTACTATACATTCTTATCTCAATCTTTGACTACCACATGTATACGAATAAATGTTTTCATAATGATGAAAATGATTGACAGATCTATTTCATCTTTTTCTTATGGAAAAGAACATTTTTTCTTCAAATAATTGAATTTTTGATTTAAGATCAATTAAAACAAGACCTTATTTGATGATTGGCATTTGATTAGATATCAACATTGCAATTATCACTGCACGTTCAATGATTGTACAAATCTAATATGAATAGAAAATGAATGAATGAATGAGTGACGAGCCATACGTACAAGACAAACAATAGCAATACTATAGTTCGAGATACCAAATGTCATTCTATTCAATTACAACACATGCCAACTCCGCCCCTATAGTTTTCTTTCTATTTTTCTAAACACATCTGCCACTTGTCGCCAATCTTATGCAATAATGACCAAAGAAGAAACTCTTGTCTTCGAGACAGATGTTTGAACGACAGCGATCATTAAGAAAAGAGCGATATATACATCAAACATGTATCTACCGGTAGGTGGTGAAGAGAACAATCGAAAGGAGCATACGCACACGGCTAAAATCACTGAATTTTTCTTTTGTTCATTTTCCAATGACGACGACAGTATATCCACTTTCGACACCTTTAACAAATAGACGCAATAGCTAACTTTCACTTACTTATGTTTTTTTTTTTTTATTGGGTGACACTAGAATTGTAATAATAAAGCTAAAGCAATATGATTTCCCTCAAGCAATCATTGCCGGCGACATTCAGATTTTAGACTAATAATCACTCTAAATATATATTGCGCGACATAGACGACAAAAGAAAGGTTAAACTTTAAATATATATAATTGAAAAAAGAAATCTCTGTGTCATTCCGTCTCTATGTACACAAATATAAAGAAGCTCAATTTTGAATACTATCATAGATATACAAGAGGATCGATTTCATTTATATATACATAGAAAGAGATATGTATTCAACACCAAGAAAAAGAAAAGGTCAATTTCGACAGATTGTAAGTCTCCTCAATCAATCAGCTTAAAATATGAAAGATAAAGAATAGATCAAGTAGACAGACAAAAAATATAAGAGCGGATCTCAAGAGAATAGTAGTGTCGATGTCTGACTGTCACCTGTTTGATTGTGCATGCATAACGAATGGATACTTACTCATCTTGCTATATAACGAACCGACAGACAGACATACATCAGACATGCATACTTGTACAGACATACATAGATAAATTTCAAAGAAGAAATGACGTGTTCATGAACAATGTATTTTCTCACTTTTATGAATGTGTCAAAGGCTTTTAGAATAAAACATGACAACATTATTTATGAAAATAAAGAGAATTTCTTAGATGATTGATTTCAATAAACAGAAATATAAAATATAAATAGCAAAACTTAATACAATAAAATTTCATTAAGTAAACATTGTTTGTTTTGTTCTTGCCATCGTACGTGTTATTATAACCTCTCTAATATGAACAAATCCATAATGAGAGTTCCACTGTCTGGAATTTCTGTTCATCGTATTAGAATAGCTTACAAATTATATATTATACATAGGAGTATTCCGAGGTCGCCAAAGTTAAGAGGGAAAGAAGTAGTTGATGGTTGTGGAGGTGAATGAGAAGACAAAAAACGAATAAAATGCTGAAACTTCACTGGAAAAAAAATAAGAATTTCTCAAAATTGGGACTGATCCCGCTAAAGCCAATCGAGTTAGTTCTGGCCTAAAACAGGTCTGAAAATTTTGTACACGACAAGCTCTCCAAAATTCGAGACACCTCTGTTTTTAAACTATATATATTAGAGAAAAAAAAAATTAAAGACATGAGTTTATCATAGTCAGAAAAATTAAATTATTTGACGATAACAAAAGTTTATTACTATGCAACTTAGCTGAAAATCTACAATATTTCTTTAGGATCAATTATATTAAAAGAGAAATTTACATAAGAAAACTTGTAACATATTTTCTATAAACTGTTTCATAACTTCTACATTAAACAATGATGAGAATATAAATTCAAGCTTATTTTATTAGTTATATTCTCTTATTCCCATAGGATACAATTAGTTACACATTATCTGTTTTCTTTTCATATATTTATTTAGAAGAAGATCATTTATAAATGAAAGAAATGTGACTTGAAAAAAAAAATTTCTTCATTATTTTTAGTTTACTTAAGGATAAGAACTAAATTATAATTTAAATCCAATTGTCACTTATTTAACAATTTTGATATCATTTGAGAATAGTTTCTATGACAGCCGCTTCTTGATTGATCTTTTTGATAAAAATGGATAACACATTCTACGTTTTCTCATCGATAGAGATAAAAAAAATCGAATTGATTATCTTTCTTTTTTTTGCATAGTTTTCATTAATGAAGGACAATAATATGTATAATTTATATTCTTTTTTCATAGGAATTTATTTATATCATTTATCAATATTGAATTATCATTCCTATTTTTTTTGTTTTTGTTTTAATAAAAAATCTATTCTTAAGTTACATTTCACATCACCTAGTGATATTTTGCATTGAGCTAACTTATGCTCGATTATGAATATACTAGAAAATCGTACTATTGAGTACAATAAAAATGACTATGTGACATATCTAAATTTATTAGTTTTTGTTGGTTATTTGAACAGTAAACAGTTGTATTTCGAAATAGTCGAATATAAAATCAAAGCAAAGAAAAAGAGGAGCCACATTGCAACATGATTAAACTATTCTCGACCTCAATCAAAGACTAATGAGTAAAACTACACATACAAAATCATATTGTTCAAAGCGACAACTTGTTCAATGAAGTGGAAACGAATATGAATATGAATAATGGACAATGCATTGATCTTTATACTTAGGCAACATATGACATTTCAATATTAGCATAATATTAGGCGTCACTTTTTTAAAAATTACACATAATTGATAAACTGAGAGTGAAGATGAAATATAATAAATCAATCTGACTATATAGAATCTTATTTATTTGCAATTACATAACAGAGAATAATGTTTTAATTTATAATGAATTTCAAAAAATTGAATGTGCTACATAAAAGAACAAACTATAGAAATTTTAGGACTCAATAGGAAGAAGGAAAGCGTTCCAGTTGTAATTCTATATGATCCTAATAAATCAATCTCCTTTACATTTATTTTTGAACTGATTACAGTGAATATTCAATTATCGACTTAATTATTCTACCAATATATAGTAAGTGCACGTGTGAATGTGAATGTATAGCAGTAGTGTAAATCGATGCCATTGATCCGTAACGACAGTGCGGTTGATTTATGTTAAAAATTTTTCGATTATTACCGACGACGGTTCAGTCGATTAGTTTACATCTCTATATAGAAGTTCTACTTTCAATAAAGTTAGTGTCAGATGATCATCTCACTAACAAAATATCTTATTAATATCACTTTAGAAATTAATTACAGATGAATTCAGTAGTGCTTTTCGGTTTTTAATCTTGTTATACATACAGAACCAATGTTGTTATAAGTAGCCAAATCATGATGATTTGAAGAAAGAGTTTTTTGGCGAATTACTAGTGTTTTTGAAAATATGAAAGTACATTCCAATAGTCACTCATCTTGTCATATACCAAGCCAATATTATTTTAAGAAGTAGCCAAACTGGCATCCATTGGCGAGAGAATCTTCTGTTCAATTTCAATGGATTGTTTGTAGTAGTAAATAGCAGCTGTGTATTCACCTTGATCCTTCTTCATTCATCCGAGCTGGTAATAAACAAATGTTTTTTGCTGATCAGTTGTTGTTTGATCAAGCAGGCTATTACACACTTCTTGGATTTTGTTGAACTGCTCAAGTTTAACTAACAACTTTCTCAAACGATGCTATCTTTTCTTCTGAGGACAGGTATCTTTACGCATGTGTTCAGTAGGTATGTGGAATACTGGATCGTTTTCTTTGCTCAATATTAAATTGACTTGCCAAAGATGATTGTTTTCATCGATTTGTTTCATTGGTTCAATTCGAAAAATGGAATGTATGGAAAAGAGAATTTCTTCTTCTTTTTTGTAATAACTGACATCACGGATGTTAACGAATAGTGTTGATACGATGAACGGATCAATTTTTTATGAAGAATAAAATACTAATACGATCCAAGGATTTCATAGATCGACAAGCAAAGATGAACGATATTTCACGGCGCATACTAGTTGATAAGAAGTTATTAAATGATAAAAGTCCATCTTTGGTTGTGACCAATCGATTTGACAGCCCTTGACTACGATAAACAGTAAATGAATTCGAAATGGAAAACGCAGTAAACTGTTATACATGAAACTTGACGATATGAATGTGAAGATCATGGATGAAAAACTCCATGCTTATGATGACATCGACATCCATCATTTGTAATGATCGGTTGAGCATAGAATAAAGAAAACATGGGTTGGTATACAGCCAAATCGAGAGATGTTTGTGGCATTCTTGTCCGAGTTTGGTGACATGGTGAAGCTCTTTTGAATTGTCAGCGAAAACCTCACGAGAGTACGTAATAAATTCATCGATACGGTGCTACTCGAAAGGAACGATTAATAGAATTTCTTTCATTATTTTGGTATACATAAATGAAGAATCTAATTGATTGAGATTTGACTTGCTATTTTCGCTACTGGTTTTAACAAAACTGATTGAAACCATGTTTTGATCACATTCTCATGCCTCTTATTGAAGGTTTTTACAGATAGAAGCAACACTTGTAAAGACTCCTTTTACTTTTGGTCCTTCTTTGGTCCAAACTTCATGTCAAGTTTGGTTCTCACTCAAAATAATAGATGGTATCGATTTGTTGGATGTGATTGACAATGAAAAAAGTTGTTTGTCCAAAGACACCACAATCTATCATAAATACTTTGTCTTCTTGAATATCGGTCACGAAATCAATACATTCATTCACAGCAGTGAATTGATGTACCTTGTTTATCACTTCTTTTAATTCATTTATGGCATTGATACAATGGTCGTTATTCATTTCATCCATATTGGCATCGAGTTACACCAGTACGAAGTTCTGAATCATACGAGCATAGGAAGACCATTGTGACCTTATGCTTTTATGTTCAAATGCTGTAGCAGTAGGATCAGTTGTTATTTTCGACTGTTTCTTTTTATCCTTGATGTACGTGGTGTTTTATCAATGAAAAAAAAGATTAAAACGAAATGATTTGCATTTATATTTTACTTTGGAGGTTTTTTTTCTAGATGTTTCTATTGGTTTTTGATAATTGTTGTCGTTCGAGTTCTTGTTTCTTTTCATTTCATTTCACTTAAGTTCTTCACTCGTCTATATCTCTGTGGTTATCTGTAATGTCACAAGATAAAGAACGAGTAAAAAAAGAAAGATTCATTATAATAAGATTTCAAACGCTGTGGCACATTTCACTTTCTTTTTGTGATGTTTGAAAGGTTTTTTTCTTCTTTTTCTTATGTTGCTGTAACTCTAACGAAAATCTTTAGCATTTATGCACTAGATCCTTGATAGATCCAATAAGGATCCTGCAAGGGTTCATTATTTTCTTTTCTGAGAAAGTCACCAAATCCTGATGAAAGTGTATCATCGTCGAATTTCAAGATCCTGAGCAGCTTTGTACAATTTTTTTAAGGATCCAGCTTGAATTTCAATGATTCCTAACAGAAAAAGAAATTTCTGTCTGCATCTCACAAGATTTGGCTAGTTTTCCTTGATGAAGCTATCAACTTTTCATGGCAAGATCTTTGCAGGATTTTCTCAAGAGAACAGAAGAGATATAAATACATAGAGAATCGAGCTGTAGACCTTTAATTTATAAGGCAATCAGGTAACCGGCTTGGTTGTGGCATGCTATTATATATAATTACAAGTTTCCATATCTTGAATTTNGGGATTGTTGTAAAGCAAGTTGTGGATGGCCAGGTAAAGCTTCTGTGACAAGTCCAGTTAGAACATGTACACAAGATGGTATTACATCTGTTGATCTTAATACTCAATCAGGTTGTACTCGTGGTACTGCTTATATGTGTAATGATCAACAACCATGGAATGTTAGTTCAACTCTTGCATATGGTTTTGCTGCTGCTCATATTGCTGTAAGAAAATAAAGAGATTAAGTTCATCTTTTGAATTTTAAAAAATATGTGTGTAATATTGTCTTGTTTTAGAATCAAGGTGAAGCAGATTGGTGTTGTGCTTGTTATTCATTAATATTTACATCAGGACCTGTTGTTAGTAAAGAATTAATAGTTCAAGTAATAAATACAGGTGATGATCTTGATGATAATCATTTTGATCTTGAAATACCTGGTAGTGGTGTCGGTATATTCGATGGATGTTCAAAGCAATTTCCTGGTTCATATACATGGGGTCAAACATATGGTGGTGTTAGTCAAAGATCAGATTGCGCTGGTTTACCATCTGTTCTTCAACCAGGCTGTTATTGGCGATTTGATTGGTTTATGGGTGCTGATAATCCAATGATAAGTTTCAAACAAGTATCTTGTCCATTTGTTCTTACTTCAATTACTCAATGCGTCAGAGTATAAATTAATGCAATGAACGTTGTGTTCAAAGACATATGTGTAATTATTGTAGATTATTTTATTTGGAATTTTGCATGAATCATAATCAATATGAATAAAAATTAGCTAGACTCACTTAAAACTGATTGACTTGAGTTAATAGAAAGATTGATAAGATAGTATTTGATAATGATATCAATCATAGAAGTCAAAAACATGTTCGTAGATATTTCTAACAAGTATAAGTTCTTTCTTTTTGCAATTCTGAGACTAATCAATGTCAATAATGTTAATAACTTCTCGCTCTCCCATAATGATTCAAATTTATATGTTTTATCATGTACAATGACTATGAAATATGATATGCTAAATATTTTGAATAAAGGGCATTAAACAATTTATAAAGACTTGATCTCATTTAATTAAAAAGAAGTTAGAAATCTTTTATCAATGCAATACGGTACATAGTCACAAGTAACAATAAAATATTCTACTGCTAATATCTATACAACATTTTATCTATAAATAAAATCAAACTAATATGAAAAAATGAAGTCCTTTAGATTTGAATTAAGTTAGACTTTTATGAATGTATATCAGATAATGATTTTTGTCGTTTGATACACTACAAGAATCCTTGTTTTAACTTTTTTCTTATCATTTTTTTTGTCTTTTCTCTTTATTTATCTACCTATTCATATCTAGGTGCTTCTCTTGCATGCACATGTGTATGTTTCGTTTAAATAAAATATAATCTAATAGTTTACTTTTAAACAGAAGCAACCGTTTTATATATTATCAACGAAAGAAACTAGAATTCCATATTGTAAATGTCTTGTTTTGGAAGAAATGGATGCAGGTAATGATATATTATTCATTTTAATTGAGATAAACTTTATTTTCAGTTTTTTTTAAATGAAGATAAGAGTAATTGAAATCGACTATTCTTCCACATTATTAACAACCGAAAAATACTATAGTTCTTTTTAAATGACTCATTGAGTTACGAATAATTTTTTCTTTTTATCTTTGAATGATTGTCTGCATGAATGCATTCTGTATTGATCTCGAATCTACATGCCTCACTATGAATACACTTAGTGCGTTTTATGATTGAAATGTAATCAATTGACATGCCGTTGTTNTTTAACTTTTTTCTTATCATTTTTTTTGTCTTTTCTCTTTATTTATCTACCTATTCATATCTAGGTGCTTCTCTTGCATGCACATGTGTATGTTCCGTTTAAATAAAATAAAATCTTATATTTTACTTTTAAACAGAAGCAACCGTTTTATATATTATCAACGAAAGAAACTAGAATTCCATATTGTAAATGTCTTGTTTTGGAAGAAATGGATGCAGGTAATGTTATATTATTCATTTTAATTGAGATAAACTCAATTTCAGGTTTTTTTAAATGAAGATAAGAGTAATTGAAATCGACTATTCTTCCACATTATTAACAACCGAAAAATATTATAGTTCTTTTTAAATGACTCACTGAGTTACGAATAATTTTTTCTTTTTATCTTTGAGTGATTGTCTGCATGAATGCATTCTGTATTGATCTCGAATCTACATGACTCATTATGAATACACTTAGTACGTTTTATGATTGAAATGTATTCAATTCACATGCCGTTGTTGAAAGTATGTTCTCTTTAAATGAGTAGTAATTGATTGTTGGTAACAGTGTATGATGAAATATGAATGAATGAGACCATATGTAATTAGGATAAATTGTAAAGGATGAACTATATTATGCGTCGAAGTGGATGGTCACCAAGATAAATCCATTCATTTTTTGTTTGTTTACAAGAGGTAGATGTTGACTATACACAATATAGATATCGTTTCCATTATTTTTGTGTCATTGTCGTTTGAAGAATATCTGTGTCAAATTCATTGTTATAATAGTGAAATTGAAAATTGCTACCTTCTTTTTGAATTTTGTTTTTCTTCTATTTTCAAGAATATCAACTTCTGATACATAAACTAGATTTTCTCGATTTTGTTTGCACTGATTCAAAATTTTTGAATAAATTCCTTTGCAAGAAAAAAGAAATAAAAATTCATTAGAAAATAACAAATGTTAATGTCGCTATTACATAAGACAGTTGTATTTTTTTTCAATAAATTTTTACTCTATCAGGATGAGACTTTCAGAACAAGTTAAGTAATCAATGGTATCCATTTGTTATCATATAATAATAATAGAAAAATAATTGCAAAGAAAAGGTGTGTTAAATATATAGGGGTAGAAATTTGAATACTTCCTTCTTCCCCTCCCCCCTCCCTTCAATAAACATGACAAGCATCACGAAGGAACCGTCAGTAGTAGTGAGTGGTACCAATCGTTTTTGGTTCTGACTTCGAGCTTAGTACGACATGTACTGGTGGATCTCGGCGGGACCGGCACTGAAACCATCATGACAGATATAAATGAAAGATCAAAAACCACTGCAGGATTAGTATGATAGTCGTTCTTTACTTATCTTTCGCACTCACTGAAATTTATTGTGATTAATATCGTTCGTTGTCGACATGCATTGACAGTAGGGAGAAATTCATAAACTGAAACATATGTTGATTAATTTCCTCTATTACAATACCAGAAATTTCGTCGTGTTTCATATTTTAATTTTGCAGATATTGTGATAACTGAGTTTTTTTTATATCTGATGAAAGAAACAGCTTCATTCTTAACAAACTATTCATTTCATATAGTGCTCTAATAATACGGATGTTGAAAAGTATTCCCTCCTATTGTGTACAAAATATTATATTCTTGAAATAGTTGTCTTCTCTAGACCCTTTATTATCTATGAAAGCTGTTATTTCATTAACCATACTTTACAAGAAATAATGATAGAAAATTGATACATGCAATTGGCATATTTATTTTAGATTGTCTCCTATTCTAACGTGCTACATATATATTTTGCTATCCGATCTATGCAGTAATATATATTTTTACGTTTCATGAACTACAGAAATCTTTTCGTTCTTGTCTTGTAATAATACAATGTAAGCTAATCATAGATGTGAAGATTGAGTTTAATATATAATTTCTTGCGAATACGTATTTGATTAACCTACTTTAACCACTTATGTAGATAAATTGTAAGAGGATTTATTTTATCTAAGATAAAATAATAACTTTCAAATAAATATTCTTTTCTTTTCATTTGAATTCGTTCTAAACAAATATCAATCAGTAATTTTGAAGATGATATGGATCTTAGTATTATTATTATCAATGAATTATTTCAGTATTTATTGATATTGATATAAATACTTTGATATATACAATCTATGCTACATTATTAGGTTGTCGAAAAGTAATTGATGCTGAATGTTTCCGTTGTATAATACAGAATGACTTTGTTGAGCAATTCAATTTGAGAACGTTCAACAACAATTTATAGATGTACGCCGTATGTTTTATGATAAATTTGATGTTTCTTTATCATAGTAAACAAATATTACGAACAATATAGATTTACAACTATTGAATACTGAAGTATCTAACAAATGAACGTAGTTTCTCTGTTACTCAAATGATTCATTTTGATGATTTATTAGTAGTTGAAAAAAGATAAAAGATTCGACAGAGGATTATAACAATTGATGTGAAAACATTTGCAGTAATGTTTAATTAAATAAATATTATATTTGTAATAACAAAATCGGAACAACTATTGAACAAATACCTACTAAAATAACAAATATTGGACTTGTTGTATTTATATTCCATTCAAGTTAAAAACATGTCAACTAAAACCTGGAAAAAAATTATCAAGATTGACAAACAAAAGGTATGTCTTGCATAAAATAAAATTATATACATGTCTATAAATTATAATGAAATTGATCTGTAGCTATGGTTCAAAGCACATATTCGAAATATCCTTTGACAATTAAATTTCGGAAAAAGGCGAAAAAAGAATTTTTTTTTCATTTCAATAGAATTAACATAAATATTATGCAAAATTGTCTAAAAATAGAATTTATATTAAAAAAAATGTCATGTCAATTAGAAATCACAGATTTTACGCAAGGTCTCTATAATAGAAAACTTGCATGAGGTAGTCGCTTCGTATGATTTTCGTTTTCACGTAACCGAAAGAATCAGAAATTAAAGTTTCTTTTGATTTCACTTGATATATAGTTAAGGCCCCCCCCCCCCCCCCTCAAAAATCTATTTCAGCCCAGGAACATTCAAATGAGATGAAACTTTCAGGATATGTTGGTGCTAGAAAGGGAAGACTACCATAAATTTTTCAGCCCAAAATCTTTAGGTTTCAGCGAGATATGAGTCAAACAAGGGTAAAAAATGACTCATTTGGCATCTCAAATTTTTCGGTCCTGGTTCGTTCGATATATTAATATTTTTTTTTGTTGGAAAGAGCATCTCAAGACGCAGGGCACGCGGAAGCCGCTTTTTTAAATTAAGCCTTTGTTTGGTCAATATACAGCCAGCCATATGATTTGGTTACCATTTTTTGACACTTTTTTCAGTCATTGAACTTTTGATTACTTTTTTGCGCTTAAAAAAAGGACTATTTCAAAAAAGCGACTTCCGTGTGCCCTGCATCTTGAGATGCTCTTTCCAACAACAAAAAAAATATTAATATATTGAACGAACCAGGACCGAGAAATTTGGGATGCCAAATGAGTCATTTTTTACCCTTGTTTGGCTCATATCTTCCTGAAACCTGGAGATTTCGGGCTGAAAATTTTATGGTAGTCTCTCCTTTCTAATCCCAACATACCCTGAAAGTTTCATCTAATTTGGATGTTCCTGGGCTGAGATCGANTTACAAAAAATGCGTTCTAAAATATGGTATATGCAACAGAATGATAAACTAGAACGTGTTACTCGTATTGCTAAATAACTCATTCAATGTTAATATATAGTCAATAATGTATCAGGCATAAGAAATCTAACTCAATTAGACTTTAGTGAAGAAAATATAAAAAATATTGAACTTTGCGTTGTAAAAACGGTATGTTCATCTCG